CATCAGACTCAATTGCCTTCTTTCAAACCGTACTCGTTCCCACCAATTCTTGGATGCTCTTCATCTCTTCAACCAAATTCACTCTTCCAATCATCTCAGACCAGACCACTACACCCTTTCGACCACCCTCACCGCCTGCGCCAACATCGCACCCACTAGCTTCGGCAACCAGCTCCACGCCTTCGCCATTAATGCAGGGCTTAAAGAATACCCTCATGTATCAAATTCTCTCCTTTCATTCTACGCCAAGTCAAAAGATTTGAGTTCAGTGAAAAGGGTCTTTAGTGAAATTGAAAACGCAGATGTTTATTCTTGGACTACGTTGTTGTCTGCGTGTGCTAAGTTGGGTGAAGTTGAGTATGCTTGTCAGATGTTTGATGAAATGCCGCAAAGGAATTTGGCGGTTTGGAATGCAATGATTACTGGGTGTGCTGAAAGTGGGCGTCACAAGATTGCTTTGAATTTGTTTCAAAGAATGCATTTTTTGGGTGTTAGATATGATAATTATGCTTTTGCTAGTGTTTTGAGTTTGTGTCATATGGAGCTATTGGATTTTGGAAGACAAGTGCATTCAATGGTCATTAAGACCGGGTTTTTGTCCAGAGCTTCAGTGCTTAATGCTTTGGTTACGATGTATTTTAACTGTAAGAATGGTTTTGATGCTTTATTAGTATTTGAGGAAGCTGGGGATAAAGTGCCTGATCCTGTAACTTATAATGCAATGATTGCTGGTTTAGTGAGTACGGAAAGAGCTGAAGAGGCCTTAATAATGTTCAAGGATATGCAGAAGTTTTCCTTGAGACCCACTGAGCTCACTTTTGTGAGCATATTGAGTTCATGTTCACATATTAGGATTGCTTATCAACTGCATGCTCAAGTTGCGAGAATAGGTTTAGAAAACTATACATCCATTGCTAATGCAACAATAACAATGTATGCCAGTTGCGGGGACTTGAATGCAGTCTCTTTAGTTTTTGAAAGGCTAAAGGAGAAGGATACTGTGTCGTGGAATGCCATGATTACGAGCTATGCCCAAAATAGTTTGGACAGAGCAGCAATTTTCACATACCTTCAGATGCAGAGGGAAGGAATAGAGCCAGATGAGTTTACAATGGGCAGCGTACTAGCAAGCTCAGAATCTCTAGTAGTTGTTGAAATAATTTTCGGTGTTGCATTGAAGAAGGCACTTATCTTGAAAACGGAAGTATCTAATGCACTGCTCTCTGCATTCTGTAAGCATGGTGAAATGAATCAGGCTTGTCAAGTTTTTAATGACATGTTTCCCAGAAACCTGATCTCTTGGAATACATTGATTTCTGGTTGTCATCTAAATGGACTACCCTTGGAGTGCTTGCACCTCTTCTCTAAGATTGTTAGTGAAGGTTTAATGCCTAATCCTTTTACTCTCAGCATCATTTTGAGTGTTTGTGCCAGCATTTCAGCTCTACAACAAGGGAAGGAGATTCACGCTTACATTCTCAAATCTGGATTGTTTTCAGAAATATCCTTAGGAAATGCTCTCATCACATTGTATGCAAAATGTGGAATGTTGCACTGGTCTCTAAAGGTGTTCCAGATAATGACAGAAAAAGACATAGTTTCTTGGAACTCAGTAATTACTGCCTATGCACAGCACGGGAAAGGAAGGGAAGCTGTACATTGCTTTGAGAAGATGCAAGAATTAGGTGTGGTCAAACCAGATAACACCAGCTTTAATGCAGTCCTGTCAGCTTGCAGCCATTCAGGCTTAATTGATAAAGGCATTGAAGTTTTTACCTCTATGATTCATACGTACGGTATAGAGCCTACAACAGACCACTTCTCTTGCATTGTCGATCTTCTAGGTCGGGCTGGGTATCTTGATGAGGCTGAAAAACTTGTCAAAGATAGGCACGTTGATGTAGATTCCACTGTTTGGTGGACATTATTCAGTTCATGTGCTGCTTATGGCGATGTTAGACTAGGCAGAATTGCTGCGGGATTTCTGCTTGAGACCGAAAAGGATAACCCCACGGTTTATGTTCTTTTATCCAATATTTATGCCAATGCAGAGAACTGGGAGGACTCTGCTAATGTGAGGAAATTGATGAATAAATGTGGAATGTTAAAGCAACCAGGAAGTAGTTGGATAGGATCCTAAAGCTCATTTTCTTTAATGCTGGATGTCTTGATGTGAGTGGTTACAAAGTTCAAGCTTACCTATCAACCAGGAGATTGCTTTTTGTGGAAGAAAGGTACTATGTCTTAAAACTTTAAGATTAACAATGGACATGAAACTTTGAATTTCTTCTGATCCATGACCGCAGGTCTAAGGGTAAAAGGTAGGTTTTGTCCCACATTTCCCGCTTCAGTTCTGCCAGGCATACTACATTTCTTGCAAGCCCCAATGACTCGCTAGCCTACTCCACCAGCGAGCTATCTTACCCCTGCTTCGTTCCCCTGTCTTCTTTGCATGTTATAAATTCTTTGATGATGTCTCATTGGGGAATGGCTTGCTGACAGAAAAGTTTTTCTTGTGCGAATCTTAAGGAAATTCTTGCACTGTGTAAGCCACTCTATGAATCTATGCCTTGAACTCGGAAATTGCGTGATGTGATTGCCATAGCAGAAGACAATTGGTCTGTCTGATGGTAGGTGATCAGTGACGAGTAACCCTTTACCCTATCTGTTTGAGTTATTCATGGAATTAGCTCTTGCTTCCAAGTCTCCTGAATATCTAAGTTTTTTAATTCTTGTTGGGTAGTGGTTGACTCAAGAGACTCTTCTTAGGAGTAGCCTGGTTTATACAAAGTGAATGAAATTCACCACTGAGCCAGTGAGCTGAAATTGGCTGCTTTACATATGTTGCTTTTTATCCTAGGGGTAGAAGTGGGTTCCACAAAAGTGTTTCTCAAGAAGGAACCACTAAGAATTTTAATTTTCATGTTGTTAGTTGGAGTTTGTATGGATTTTATTGTTTGTAAACCTACTGCCTGATAATAAGCTCAAAAGATATCAAATTTGAACTTGTTAAAAAAGATGTGCGTTATATTTTCATAAAAAGAAGGGCAGCCCGGTGCACGAAACATCCTGCGTTCATGCAGGGTCCGGGGAAGGGCCGCACCCAAGGGATGGATGTAGGCAGCCTATCAATGGAATTTTCACAGCTCGAAGCCGTGACCTATAGGTTACATAGAGACAACTTTACCGTTGCTCCAAGTTCCCCTTCTTTCTTTAAAAAGAAGTGAGACTAAAAGATAAAGAGTTGTCCATTTTCTGTATCTGTCCCAGAGCTATATTGTCCAAAATTTAAAAATTCCATTCCTATCTTGATACTTGATGAAATGATGCTATGCAGAGTCTCATTTCATTGAATGAAGACTGAGCAAAACTACCTAAGCATGAAAATGGTACGAAGGAGACAATCTCAATGATGAACTTTTTGGCATCTATCAAAAGAACTATGATTTTTTCAGCTGTTTTACTTACTTCGAGGTACTTCCCTTTTCTTTCATCTTCTTCTAAGAATGGAGGTTGTACATAATGTATTGCATGTTCTTATGTATCCTGTTTCCCCCTATGGAGGTTACACAGGTAGTCCTGCTAAAAATTTAATTTGTCAAGTTCCCGAAACTGATAATATCGTGGACGTTTAGACATCCTTTTTCTCTCCATGAGAGTGATATGCACATTTCTCTATTGGTCAGTACCCTTCTTTACCATCTTCTCCTGTTTTCTAATTTGTTACTTTGGAGGATTGCTGTATTGAATAGCCTTCATATGTAGAAGTTTATGGATCCACTACCTTTTGCTCATTGCTCTCATGAGATTTTCCTCCTTTCCTGATCATCATGCCATCAGCTAGCTTTTTCTGGATAATAATAATACATTTTATTCCATTCTCTTGAGCTGTAGGGCACACAAGCACTCACATCATTAGATTGAGTTTGTACATCAGATACCTTGTATCCTTGTGATATTTGATGTGTGTGTGGGTGTATATATATCCTTGCCTGAATTTTTTACGGGGTTGTTTGGTTGGGAAACAAGTTATCCCATGATTAATTATCCCGAGATTAGTTATCCCACCCTTCCATGGGGATAAAAAAATACTATAATCCCGGGATTAGTTATACCACGTCTTTATCCCAAACAAACATATGATAAACTCATCTCAAATTTAATCCCAAGATTAATTATCCCTTATCTCTCGTACCAAACGAGCCCTAAGATTGTAATTTTTATGCTTGCTCATGATGCCTGGTGTGTAATGTATATGTAATGAAAACAAATAATATTGTATCTCTACGCTAATTTTCTTTTTAATCATCGAGAAACTGTCATTGATCAATTTGTTGATGTCGTTTCAGGTTTTAATCCTTCTTCTCCTTTAGCAAGTGTTGCATTACAGGGAGGTATCTGCTACAGATCCATGAAAACTTTTCACCTTGCTGGAGCTGACTAGGAATATGTTTGCCAATATCCCCAAGTATAGGACTATACCATGCAAAGCGCACCAAAACATGCCTTCTATGACAGATCAAGCTTGATCTTACCACCAAATATAGTCCAACTAGAGACTCGACTTCATTATCCTCAACTCCACGGTATTCGCCTTTAAGGAGATCCCATAGACAGAATAACATTTTATCTCTTTCTATCCATCTAACTATAAAAAATATTTAGTATCTACGGGTTTATTTGAAAACATACAAAAATATCGAAATCGTAGAGATGGTGGTTAGGGTTTGAGAGGAAGAAGATAGAGAGAGAAATGAGAGAACCGACTTTTGTTCTCTATAAGAAAATGAATTGGAAAAATCAGAAATGCTATTACAGTGTATTTTTTTATACAATGGACTAATATGTATATTGAATAAGAGGCCCAAGTTGGCCCAAGTTATACTTTATGTTTGGGCCCAGATGCTAAGTAATCCTTGATATCAACACCCCTCCTCAAGTTGAAGGAGGTGAACACCTTCAACTTGCTTAAGTGCTGCTGGTGAAGAGGACCGGGCAAAGGTTTAGTCAAAATATCAGCAGGCTGCTTGGCAGTGGAAATGTGGGATAGAGAAATCAATCCCTCTAAGAGCTTTGTCCGAATGAAATGGCAATCCACCTCTATGTGCTTAGTACGCTCATGAAAAACTGGATTCTTGGCGATGTGGATGGCTGCCTGGCTGTCACAAAACACAGAAACAGGAAGAGAAGCAAGAACACAAATATCAGTAAGTAAGCGAGTTAACCATGTTAATTCAGCGACCACTTTGCTCAATGCACGATACTCTGCCTCAGTAGAGGACAAAGAAACAATTGGTTGTTTCTTAGACTTCCACCCAATCAAACTATCACCCAAGAAAATGTAGAAACCAGTCACGGATTTTCTAGTATCTACACAGGCAGTCTAGTCACTGTCAGAGTAAGCAGTCAAAGAAAAATCAGAAACTGAGGAATAGAACAAGCCAAGGTCAACAGTCCCCTTTAGGTATCTTAAGACATGTAGAGCAGCTGTCATGTGAGGCACACGAGGAGATTGATTAAATTGACTAAGGTGTTGCACTGAAAAACACAAATCTAGTCTTGTGTGAGTAAGAAATAGCAATTTACCATTAAACTTCTGAAATCTACTTGATTAGGAAGTAAATCTCCAAAACATGCTTGCAATTTGATATTCAAATCCAATGGACAGACTACAGGACTAACATCTGAGCAATCATAATCTTTGAGTAAGTCAAAGATAAACTTTCTCTGATTTAAGAGTACACCACCAGGAAAGTAGCCATTTTCAATCCCCAAAAAATAGTGCAAAAGTCCTAGGTCCATAATCTTAAATTCAGCATCCAAAAACAGTTTAAGAGCAGCAGTTTCAGGTAAGTGATCTCCAGTGAGGATTATATCATCCACATACACAACCAATATCACCAAATTACCAGGCATACCTTTAACAAATAAGGAGTAATCATTAATGAAGTGAGTATTCCTTCTTGTGCATAGAGCTTGGGACAACTTGGCATACCATTGTCTAGAAGCTTGGCGTAGTCCATAGAGAGAATTCTGTAGCTTACAAGCTAAAGAGGCAGAAGTGGAACCAGATACACTAGAAACTGAAAGACCAAGAGGAATTTTCATGTAGACTTAATCATCAAGGTCACCATGAAGAAAGGTATTGTTGACATCTAATTAGAATAAAGACCATTGTTTCTTGACAACAACAACTATTAAACATTTGACAGTAGACATTTTAACCACAGGAGATAAAGTCTTATTGAAATCTATCCCTTCCACCCGAGTACCTCCCCTAACAACCAGTCTAGCCTTGTATCTTTCAACACTGCCATCATCCCTATACTTTACTTTATAGACCCACTTGCACCCAATTGATTTCTTCCCTTTGGGTAGCTTAACAATGTCCCAAGTGTGATTGGCCTCTAAGGCCTCAAACTCCTTCCTCATAGCTTCATGCCAAGTAGGAATGTGTGCAGCCTGAGAGTAAGAAGATGGTTCTACTACTGCATGTGGAAGGAATGCAGTTGCACCAGAAAAGGAAAAGGGAAGTTGACAGATATAATCTTTCAAATGAGAAGGAAGAGAATGATTCCTAGTAGATTTTCTAACCACTGGATTAGTAGGTAAAACTGGAGAAGAAGAGGGTAATACAGAAGAAATGGAATCAAGGACAGGCTGTTGGTGGTCAAGAACAAGAGACAAAGGAGATGGATGAGAAATAAAGGATTCAGATGAAGCAGAATCAAGGGAAGAAGAATCAACAGGTAGAGAAGGATGATGACTCTGGATTAAACTGAGATATGGGATTGACTTGTCTCTGTCTCTCATCTTGGAGAAGAATGTTGTATACAATATCAAGAGATGGTAATGGATTCATCATTAAGAGATTACTTCTTACACTCACATATACTTCATTTAATCCCATGAGGAATTGGTGTACTTTATTTTCTTCCTCTTCCTTTTGGGTACCAGACTTGGCAGGACAGACATAGGAATTTGAATGTTTCTTACGCATCATTTCTAATTCATCCCATAGCTTCTTAAGTTTGTTAAAGTATGAAGCTATATCTGAGGAACCCTAAGAAGTAAATGCGAGTTCCTTTTTAAGTTCAAAGACTTTGGTTCCATTGACAACACCATATCTACTTTCTAACTGTCTCCATATACTTTCAGCAGTCTCAAAATATTGTACCGATTCAACAATAGTTGGGGTTAAGGAACTGGTTATCCATGATATTACCATATTATTACATTTGTTCCATTGTTGCAGTTGTGGAGAATTATCAGGTGGTTTAGGACAAGTTCCATCAATGAATGCAATTTTATTTTTTGCAGACAAGAAAACTACCATACTCCTTTTCCAACCTCCATAACCAGTACCAGAGAAAGGAACTGACACCAAGCACAACCCAGGAATATCAGAGGAGTGAAGATGGAGAGGACTAGAAGGGTCGGGAGAGTAAGGAGTAGAACTATCGATTCCCGTCATATTCAATACTCAATACATAACAACAAATCCCTCAGAATCAACACATGCGAGAAAGACCAAAAGCCTAATATGAGAAATAACTTGCAGATTAGAAAAAATTACTTATGAGTAATAGATCGAAATTACCCCCCTTCTTCAGCACTGGAAGAAGTTACATCCTTCACATATCAAAGACACTCAAATTCTGAGGATGAATCCAAACTAGGTATGAACCACAGAAAACCCTAGTTCGAGAATTCTAGAAAAACTCACCACTAAAGCTTGGAATCAAGGAGACTTCATCAACGATTGAACATCCTCCACTCAATTACAGCTTGTTTCTAGAGAAGGATCACAAAATAAAAAAAAAATGAATTTTGACGAGAAAATCGTCTTACTGACTAGACCACGAAAAACTCAACCAAATATGATGAAGGGTAGCATCAGACGAACGAGAATAACAAGATCTTTCACATCCATAGCTCTGATACCATGAAAACATACAAAAATATCGAAATCGTAGAGATGATGGTAAGGGTTTGAGAGGAAGAAGATAGAGAGAGAAATGAGAGAACCGGCTTTTGTTCTCTGTAAGAAAATGAATTGGAAAAATCAAATATGCTATTACAGTGTATTTTTTTATACAATGGACTAATCTGTACATTAAATAAGAGGCCCAAGTTGGCCCAAGTTATACTTTATGTTTGGGCCCAGATGCTAAGTTATCCTTTATCTCAACATTATTATAAAAGAGAAGAACAAATTCATCGTGATTAGGATATCGAGAAATAAAAACACGAATGTGAACGTCTGATTTCTAATAAACAATAAACCCTCCTCCTTTTTCCATGATTGGGTAAGCTTGATCTTAGAGATTGTTTCTGCTGAGTACTGATGCTATGTTTTTTTTAATTATCTATCAACATTTGTAATTTGAGTAATTTAGTAGATATTGAGACAAGTCAAATAAAGCAGAGGAAGAAATTGTAATGTACTCTCTTATAACCAAGAAGCTATTCCTAGAACTACCAGATCATGTCTCAAAACCAGCTCTCAGTATGATAAAGAGATAACACAAGTTATAAAGAGGATCCATGTCCTACATTATATAGGAGCACGTCATTTACAATGAATCCTGCTCACTGTGATTTAAGGACAATACATAGAATAATTTGTTAATCTAATCTTTGATTGATCACAAACATTATGTACTAATATTTCTTGCATTACCGGTGTTCGGTGATGGTTCATTTAGAACATCTGTAGCTGTAACGACCCGATCGGTTATTTTTCTTTCTAGATCCTCGTTCCTTTATTTAAGACTTCCTGCGTGTGTTTTTCCTGTTTTATAACTTGCGGGGTTGGTTAGTTTGGTTTTGGAAGCGTTTGGGTTGAATTAGGAACACTTAGTTCCATAATAGTGGCCTAAGATGGCCAAGTTTGACTTGAGTAAACGACCTCGGAATTAGGATTTGAAGGTTCTAATAGGTTCGTATAGTAATTTTGGACTCGGGTGTATGTTCGAATCGAGTTTCGAGTGGATCAGGAGCGTTTCGACACTTATTGTTGGAAGTTGGCATTTTGAAGGTTTTAGAATTTTTTAAGTTTGATTTGAAGTAAACTTCGGTGTTATTGGATCCTGTTTGTCATTCTGAGCTTGGGAGTAGGTGTATTGTCATGTTGGACTTGTATGTGAAATTTGGTATCATTTCGAATTGTCTAAGTATGATTCATCGCGTTCAGAGTTAGTTAGAAGAAGTTTGAAGTTTAGAAGTTGATTAATTAGGTTTTGAGGTACGATTCTTGGTTTCCATGTTATTTTATGTGTACCGGGTGGCTCGGGTGAGTTTCATGGGGGGCCCACGACGCGATAGAGGACCTGGCTCCTTTGCGAACGCGAATGCGTAGAAGGAAAAGGCAGGAGGGGCTGGAAGGCTTAGGCCTTCGCGAACACGGCTGGGTTGATCGCGAAGGCGGAGTGTTGGGGGCTGTGTGCATCGCAAACGCGACCTGGTCATCGTGAACGTGATGAAGGATTTTTGGGTAAGGGTAGTGTCAAGACCCCAAAATATCACCTTAGGAATGGTGATGACACCTAGTCTCTAAGACTAGGTAAGCCTAACACACATTAAGAATTTAGCAAAAATAATGACTAAGCTATTAATTTAAACTGATAAAAAACATAACAAAACCAAAACATAACCATAGTCATACAATCCCAAAATCGGTGGTACAAAGTCATAAGCTCTATTGAAATACATTAGGAATCTCTATTGCAATACTATTCGGAAACAAAAGAAACAATAGCATATGATTACTAGAAGGTGACTCTTAGGCCTGCGAGCGTCAAGCATGTATACCTTGAAGTCTACGCGAAGTCTGAACCAACTCACTAGCGTCCGACACGGGTAGAGGTACTTAGATTTGCACGAAAAT